CGATGATAGTAGGGTTTCAATATTTCCAGTAGAGAAATCGGGCACAAGCAGTAAGATATTAGCTTTATTAGAATCATAATGTTTATTTGAGGAAGTCGGATTTGACACATTAGAATGGTTTGACGGACCATCATGCCTGTAATGAAAGGAAAAGCAAATTGCTGTATACTACGAATCCTGGGATAAACAAAAAGGTGGCAAAGCAAAACTCAAGTAATCTGCCATTACAGTTAGGTGTAGAGTTGCAAAGAAAGAAATTACAATTAAATGGTTCATTGAGAAACACAATAACTCTATCAGATATTGAAACGGGGACCATACGGCCAGAATTATCGCTATAACGCCAAGTGACTTGTGGCAACTTGAAGTCGCCCAACATTTTGACAGCAAGTTTGGACTTCTCGCCCACGTCACCAATGAGGGCGGCATCTTATAAATAGAGATAATATCATTTGGAGGATTTAGAAGCAAGTTACATGAACTGTTTATAAACGTTTTTCGTCCGAATGGCAAAGAATTCAACGTCAGGAGGTGTGGGAAATTCGAATGAATAGGACAGAACTGCAGCAGATGTGGTAATTATAACACCATCACCAATGCGATCCAGTCTATCCTTTCTGGAAAGAATTGTGAAAAGGTTCCATAAGTGTATATTGGACATTGACCAGATTTCAGTGAAACCAAACAGGAAAACTCCGTGCTCACTGAATTTAGGAAAGTGGACGAAATTTTTGAGTCGCCCTTGCCACCTTCGCATAGCTGGAACGGGAAGGGCTTCCCGGCTTATTTGTAAATTTCGTGTTACCAACTGAATCAACAATAGAGGGAAGGCTAAAAATCATTATAAAAAATTATAGCATCGTAATATCTATCAATTATTAGGGGAGATAACCTATGCTTTAATGGGTAGCATAGATGTGCCGAAACTCTCACCTCCCAGTGGTCATCCCCGGTCAACGGCTTCGGCCGGCTAAGAAGAGTTTAAGGTTTTGGGCTACTAACTCGGCGACGAGTTTCTGAGAGATGGTGGAGGGGTTGGCTGGAAGATGAACTCTTCACTCTGTAGCTAGTTACTACCTAGGAACTTTCTGAATGGATTTAAGTACGTTGAAGGTAGTAATCTAGCGAGTGCATGGTAGATCGCGCCTGCCATGTCAGTGCAATACCCGAGACCTATATATCTCGAAGAAAAGTAGTTCTTGGTGTTGTACCAGGATGTATGATGAATCCGAAATACAAGTGCGGTTGTTTTACAACCGCCCAAAGTATGCCAAAGGCTTTGCAAAATAAACTGGGAGCCACGGGGGTCAGGAGGCTCGCCTCACAAAGCCACGTATGCCTGCGGGTGTATGATGGACTTTGTTCATAAAGTCGTAACGAAATAAAAATTTTTTTTTTTTTTCAAGAGTAGAATTAATAATACAAAAAGGGATTGACGGATGGCTTTCCCTTTGGCCTATTAATAAAAATCCTCTTGAGAATTAATTAATACATGCAAATATTAAAAAAGGGATTTGACGGAAGGCTTTTTCCTCTTTTGCCTATATACTTTTTAAACATATGTCACGGATGCCTGCGGGTAATGGTGGTAATTGATCAACGGCGCCGTGGAAACCTTATGGCGGAAGCGAGCGCAAATTTTTTACCCTTTTGAGCGAATATTGTCGATCAATTTGTGAGTCCTGACTGCTTAGGTGCGGCCCTTCGGGGAGTACTCGTGGTGGTTGTGGTTGGCAGTTCCTAGCCAAAGTGGAACAGTCGAGCGCAGCTAGGCGTCACACTTACCAGAGTGACGGTTCATACGGCCATACACGGTGAACCATCTGCGCAGCTCGGGGTAAGAAAGGCTCCCTTATTAGGGGATTGTCTCTCCCCCCGGGGGGTGATCACTCAACTCAATTGAGTGCCTATGGTTGTAGGCAACCCGTCTGATTACGGCATCAAGCTAGGTGCAGACGTTAAACACACAGAGCAATCTATCAATTATTGACCATTTCATGATTGAATAAAAATGTAACTCTACAAAAAAGAAACAGAATAATGAGTATAATTTATTAAAGTTCCAGCAATAAGTAAAGTAAGTAAGCAATAAGACAATTGTAAATAGGATGTGTTTACAAAAACCCTGCGAATTCCAATTGGAAACTAAGAAATCATTAACAAATAGAAAAGTTATATATGGCTATGGCCGAATTTTGCTTACATATATTTTCATAAAAAATTGAATGGGGTAGAATTTATTTTTCACACGGCGTGTGGTACGTCTTCATCTATACCGATTGTACATGCAACCCGGGTCTCAGATAAAGACTCTATATGTATATGAAATTTGAATGAGAAGAAATAGAATTCACTTTAAAGAGCAGCACTGTACGTAGTCCTGACAAAGCTATCGGTAATTCTTCATTCTTATTTAATGATTTCTCTCTGACTAAAATTGCTGTTTTCTGTTGTCTGTGGATTGACTTTATCTTGACGGTGATACAAGGTAAGAGAATGTGATTGTATGTGGTATGCCGAAACATGAAATATAATTCTTAACTAAAGGTTTTGCGATAACAGTTGCGAATATTTCTGATAGTGCGTATTCTTCGTACCATCGTGTAAAGCTATCGAGTATGGTAATTGTCTAAGAGTTACCATCGGATAGGGAAAGTGGGCCGACAATGTCTACATGTATACGTTGAAATTTGGCCTTCGCGTAGATGCATTGCCTTGACCATGAATTAATTTCCCGTTCCACTTCCGGCTGAAAGCATTTGTCCGTTATTAGATTCTGCGTCGCCCTCGATTCCGAAGCATTTTATCGAATACGGTTTTTATAAGATTTGCCTTGGTATTTTCCGGGACACTTCGCACCATATTCCATACTTTATCGATGGTACCTTTCTTTGATTCAAGTGGAATTTTTTTCTTATTGATTGTGTCAATTCTGGGCCACGTTTTTACTCTTGGTGTAAGCCGTAAAATCTCAATTATACGTCACTCAGATTATCAACTCGGAAAGCTTTAGCCGAAGTGTTCGCCAATTCAATTTACCTTTGACATATTGACAATAGTGGATTTTAAGATGTATTCGACATGCCTCGTCGTTCTCGGACTGCAGCCGTTGTTTGAACTTAACGCATTGATGAATGATTTATGGTCAGTGAATATCGTAAGTTCCCTTCCTTCCGCAAAATGTCTGAAATGTGTTATTGTCACGTTACATTGCATGCAATTCTCGATCGAATGTGTATTAGTCGGGTGGACTTAAATTGAGAACAACTGCAAACCAAACTCCGATTTACGCTGGACAACTGTTGATGTCTGTCCGTTTTTGTCCATTGTGTGTCGGTGTATGCGCTTTTTATTATTATTACCCAGGCTTATAGATGGTTTTTTTACTTAATTATGTTACTATGTTTAGTCAGTACACGCTTTGATCAGTTTCAGAAAGGCTGCAACTTTGCTTCAACTTTTGTTAGTTTTCTAAAGGATTAAACGTTTCCATTTCACGTAAATTTCGTTTTAAGGTGTGCCAATTTGCCAACCTTATCAACGACCAAGGTCTTCATCATGCAGTCGCAATGATCAAACAACAGAAACCAAAACATGAATCTCAGCCTCTCCTGGTTCAGAATATCCTTTCCTAAATGCAAAAAATCGCATTCCGCATACATTTATGGTGCATATGGTATGCCGACAATATGCTAGTAGTCTAAAAGATTGTTGAAAGTTTTATTTAAGCAGGGTCTACAGGGTCGCGATTGTCAATATAATGCAAATAAGAAGTGTATGGATAATGTCCCCCAGGACTGTTCGGGTGAACAGCAACTAATTGTAAGTGATTTTATAGAATCTAGCAGGCATGGGTTACCCAAACATCGTAACAATCTCTTTTCTGAAGAGTTTGACATGAAGGATTTTGATGAAAATACCACATCTGGCCTACGTTTTAATTCTAATAAAAGTGCTTGCAAACGGGCACTTAACCAACTGCAAGAGTCTGACAACTTGTACAAAAACTGAGAACACGCCAATGAAAACAAGCAACGGTCGCTTAAGTGGAGACCATGAACAAAATGTACAGAAAGGTGAAATTCATTCCGCTGAGCAACCGAATAAACAAGACAGGTAAATTAATATTTAGTAATAACATACCTTTAATATAACGTTATGCATGATCACCTCCGCAATAATTCGTTCATATTGTTTAAAAACAGTTCATTGAAAACAACCTCTGCAGTGGTAGTGATTATAACTGCTCATCGACTGAGTCACATAAAACTGCCTATATGTTAAGGTCATCATCGAACTTTATAAACAGTTTTTATGCCAAGTATATATCATGAACATTTAGACAACGAAGAGAGAAAAGACTAAGCAAAATTGCAAAGTTTGTAACAAAAGTCAATTGAAAGGCGATTAGAGGCCAGCACAAGGCACTGGCGGAAAGAATAAGCACAGAACTTAACCGTGCAGTGTCCGCTGAAAAGTTGAAAGGGACTTTGCGAGACGTTAGGCAGTGTCTGCAACGAATTGAAGAAGGGTCGTCTCTTCGTACGCATTATTGCGCATACCTATGTATGCGCAACAACTAGGATATATGCGGGCCGCGGTGACGATTGCAAAAAAAAATCTACCGTCACAGGAGGCTAACGACAATGATAAGTTCCGAGATGGGGGGATTCTGTGGGTTCGTGGAAGGGGTGGTGGTGGACGAAGCTAAACACTCTATGAATGAGATATTAGCAGGTCCGAGTACGGTAAAAAACGACTAATACGCCAAGAGTCGAGAGATTCGCTCTCCTCTATCCTGTTGTGCTATTTTATCCTTATTTCTTTTTAATTTTACATAAAAAGTTATGCCGTTTAATGCCGCCCCCAATTAAATGCCGCCCATTACAGCATCATTGCTTCCTCGTCCTAAGGTAACTATAATGTTACATAGACATATTTATAAATTGCTTATTATTAGATTAAAAATCAAATCCAACTCGTTCCGCTCATCCCCTCCTATCGATGAAGATTCGCTGCATGTCAAAGGTAACTTTGCACTTATCTTTGCTTATTATTATTATAATTTTTTCATTTCTTTTCATTTTATTTAAGATTAGAAAACAAGCATACCCCTCCAGGTGTCGCTTCAGCGGAATGCGATACTTCTATAGGCTAAATGATAAGTTCGTGGTCATCTTTATATACAAAATTCAGCAACCATAATATTTTTCTTTTGCAGATGTCAACACACCAGCAGTGATTTTAAGTTCAGTTTATCATGGTGAAGGGTTAAAGGGGAGCCAGCCATTCAAAACAATTGACAACGCGCTTATCACGGTACCTCAAAGGTGGTGTGGAAAAACCGTGCCAGGTAATATAGCCTTTGCGACCGACGCTATGATTTTCACAATTAAGTGTGCATCCATTCACTTATTAATCCAAGTTACCTTTTTGAAGAATAGCACCAAATATACAAATTTGATTCACAGCAATTTTCGAGATATATTATAGCCCCACGACGTGCAACAAATATACAATTCAATTCACAGTGTACGCATTAAACGATATCATTTTTTTTTTCTTTTCGATATACCTTAAGTTTGGTTGGCATGCAAAAAGCTGCGTCCTATACACGTCTTTCGACTCAGGGCACTCTTCGCTCAGGTGAGTAGCTTTATCCCTAAAATATTAGGGACACTGGAACGACTGTTTATAAGAGCTATGTCTTTGAAAAATTGCAACGAAGTTAAACGGATAATTGAAGTGAGTATTTGAGTTTTAAAACATATTCAAGTCAGGTATAATATGGAGAAGCATAGATTAACAAACATGTCTTACGAAATATAAATAAATAAATATAACAAATTGTTTAAGAATTCATAAAGAAGCTATAAAATAATTGAAATAAATAAAGTTATCTCCGTTCCGTTACGTTAGATCATTTCGTCCCATTAATCCACTATCTTCCCTTTTCATTAGTCCATAGTGGTTTTATTATTATCCATTAATGGATAAGTCTTACGTAGATGATAATGCATTCATTATCTTAGGGCAAATGAGTATCATCAAGAAATTATTAAAATTGCATTAAAAACGAAATTGTTATTACTATGTTCACATTTAATTACTTGATATCCTATTACAGAACCTTGAGGCCATTTGCGTTCCGAAGTTCTACGAAAATGAAAAAAACTCGTTGAAGATCTATGAGAATGAAAAAGCTCATTGAATATGCGATGTGATATCGCATCTCTTGGGTAACAAGACAATATTAAGTACGTCGAAACGGTCAAAAGGTCAGAGGTTACAAAATGAAAAACGCACTTGTAATTGAAAAACTAGCTGCTTCGGCAGTAATGTGGGAGTTTCTAGCTTTAATCCATAGACATTCTGCAGGTGGTTATGCTAAAGATATACACGCTGTAACGACCGAGTATATAGGTGTAGGGGGTTTCTATCGGCTTGCTTTTTCCTTTGCTTTCCATAAGAGACCAATACTCTATGCATTAAAGGAATTTCATTAATATTTATCTCTCTCTCTCTATCTCTCTCTTCATAGCTCTATGTATATTATAGAATATAATTATGAAGAGAGAAAGAATAATACAAAGTCCATCCGTTGTTACAGGAAAAGCGTGGATTTTTGCGAGAGCAGATGGTATTCTCATACGTTGCTACACATGCTGATAAAGATATCGACAAAAATAAGAGACAACACAGGACAAGCCAATGCAGAAAAGACAAATCAAGCCAGCAAGTAGTCGTTAAACAGAGTGATCGTAAAGTAGAAGCACCGTAAAGTAAGCATATCTCGAGGAAGATGCGAAAGGTTCATTAAAAGAACGCGAATATGAATTAAAACTAAATGGAAAAAAAGAGGGTAATTTAAAACCAAGAAACTCAAATTGATGATAAAATAACCTGAAAAGCAAATAAATTTATTGCGATTATTGTTTTATGCAAAAGAACAAAAATAAAAATAAATTTAAAAGAAAATCGAGTTATTGTGATTATTATTGTAAATAAGTACTATTTTGTCTTTGAATACGCAATTATGCATAAGAACAAAAATGATTTAAAAAAATGGAAACTCAAAATATATATAGCATTATTTGTTGAAACCAAACAATAAAAACTTACTTCTTCATGGAAAGTGTTTCGAAGGCCAATGTAATGGGAGAGTTGCAACGTTTGGTGAAAGAAAAAAAATGACGTGAAAATATGGCTACTTTATTTATTACAAGTTTCATTAAATTACGTTATGCTTAAGAAATAAATATAAGTGAAAAAAAATGGCCTCGTGAAGATCGTGTGTGTGTTTGTGTGTGTGTGTGTGTGTGTGTGTGTAACAAACGGTGACTTCACCGACCGACAGATTCAAAAGCACCGAATAACGGACAAGGGAACAATACAGACAATGGAACCGTTAGTTGACAGTGCTCTTGATAGTTTTAAATTAAATTTTTTTTTAGCTCTGCACTCGCTACAATGTGCCAAAACCCTTATGAAGGCAGATGAACAGATGAAACTTACCGGATGGACTGATCACGTGCTCTGGGCGTTTTATACCCTTCCCTATGTATGGTCGAAACACGATGTTATAGGAGGGATCTCAAAGTGAGTTAGATGACCTCCAGATCTACCTTGCTCCAAAAAAAAGTAAACCATTTAACGCATGTTTAGTAAACAAACATGGAGGTATATACACTTTATGTACGTTAACTAGCGTTAATAAATACCAAAAGGGAAAATCAAAAAACTCAAGGGTGTCCAGCAGACCGTCCCAAGGAATTTATTATTAAAATTAAAATAACTTTGGCGTTTTTGGCTATGGTATGTAGTTTTATGTATTTCGATAAAATTTGGCAAGAGTATATGTAAACTTATGATGTTGTTTCCGGAGATTCACTGAGGAGTTTACTATATCATCGGCTTATGGCAATTACGTTATACTGTATTTACTTTGGGAGTTTATAGAGAACAACGAAGTAAGGGGAAGGAAAAACCAACATGTGATGGCGGGCAACCACGATTGTATACAACTGGAGCTAGGAACGTGATTCGCGCGTAACCGAAGTGCTATTCCGCACTTCTCGAGTAAATTATTACGGTTGATCTGAAATTTATACGTTTCTGAAAGAACTATCGTTGTTTGCCCTCTGCTTTTATAGCAATTGGCTGCCACACCATTATATTAACAAACAGCTTTCAGCACCATGTGTGTTTGCTCACATGATTAAAGAGTAATATATCACTTATGTACTAATGCTTAAAGAGTAACTTAGCTGAGTGGGGAGTAGCAGGAGAATACATCGGAGAGTAACTTAACAATATGGTGAAAATGAAAGCACTTTCTCTAGCTTTGAGTATAATTCAGAGATTAGTCTATAAGTGTGATAAAATGTATAGCTTATGGAAATAAGGACGCTTATTTTTGTTAGACTGAGTTCTGAAAGAAACTTGAAGCTTGTATTTTCAAGTCGAAGAATACTACGTAAATATAAAATGATGCAAGTGAAAGTATCGTGAAGGAAGTTAATTTTCCTTCGTTGGAAAAATTTATGTTTAACAGAATAGTGCCGGGCTAGCCTCAACGACTATTCCAGGTGTCCTTACCTTGATGAAATTTCCATTTATGAAAAGGGAACCCTAATCTCAGTTGACGTTATAACTCAACTTCTGTTTATTAATTCACTTACGTTATTAAAGAGCCTAACAGCTAAACATTAACCTTAGAATACCTATACTTAACGTAAATCAATAATCAATCGTTAATTGTCCACAGACGGAACGGACGTGTTTCTAGCCAAAACACCTCGGATTCAGCCCCTATATTGTGAAATCCCAACCGACGATAACGAATTTTTTTTTACTTACCTTTTCATATCTCGACGGCGGTTCAGTGAAGAAGACCGAAGTCGAAAACTCTCTTCCTATCGTTGGATTGGCTTTGCCAATCGTTAATTTAGCCACAATACTGTACTGTATTTCCACCACTCTACGTACGCCGGTACAGTATTGACCAATATAGGCGAGTATAAGCCTGCACCTTTAATTTATGTTAACTTACATATACCTATAATTACAGCATACTTATACTTATAACAAAACCATACTACTATACGACCAGAAAAGTATACTGTACGACCAGAAAGTATACTGTACGACGAGAAAAGTATACTGTACGACCAGAAAGTATACTGTACGACGAGAAAAGTATACTGTACTACCAGAAAGTATACTGTACGACCAGAAAAGTATACTGTACGACCAGAAAGTATGTAAGGCTACCCACATTTTTGTAAAATAAACACAGTTAATAATTTACGGGTTTACATAGCCTAGCGAAGTATTTTTAATGGCAATGCTTGGCAATGTTATAAGGATAGAATTTCATTTACTTTCCCATATTTCTAAAAATCTCTTCGGTCTTGGAAAAATTCAAAGAAAACGACATGTTGATGTTTTGTAATACAGGGTGTATATCGCAGATTTTTGTGCGGGTACTATAGAATCGTTCCTAGAATAGAATATACAAGTTCTTATTGTGACGGTTTGTGAGTAACGAGCAAAACACACAATTTGTTCGCTTTAAAAACAGAAGTGCCTTTAGCTTACGTAACGCAGTGGGCGATTTCGTCGATTGTCAACTCTCATAGAGAATACATATCATATACGATCTCTGAAATCTTTTTCCGGGTATTGTTTTAACAAAATGGATATACTCCCATTTTTTGGCTGTAGCT